ATTCAACCCACAGAATATCCTAAGACAAGGGGGCACAGTTAATTCATCATCAGTTGTTGGGGGCTTCAATACTGTTCACAGGGAAAAAAGTCATGAGTTGACATAGAATATATTTAGTCTATACAGTAAAAAAATACAAATTATAAAGTGAGCTAACAAAGAATGAAATCTGAGTTCAGATTTATAAAAGTGATGACATCTTGGACAGTACATACAGTGTTTCTCATGTAAAAACATCTCCTTTCAGCAAAAAAAAAAAAAAAATCATCTGGTTGTTTCTCAGTCATGTCGCGGATCTTGCTTCGAAGATGCAGGTGTCCAAGTGTCTCAGAAACCAAAATAAATGTCCTCCTCAACAAGCACAAGATGCCAAATGCTCTCAGCACAGTTTCAAGGGTAGTTTTGGAGGTTTGTTCTGTCTTGCTTCAGAAACACATTTAAAATGAGTAGAAACCAAAGGGTTCAGTGGAACAAAGGAGACAGCCCACAGCGCTCGATTTACTGCTAATGTTGAAAAAGACATAGATTTTACAGTACTCTGGTATAAGTGAAAGTGTTTGAAAACATTACATTGCATATTTCTGAGTCCATTCTCTTGCGTGCCTGTTGTATCTGTAGGCATACAAAAAGAGAGAGTAAAAACACACGTTTAACCCGCAGGAGCCTCACTCTGCTCAGAATCTGGTCCTCTGCCTCCTCACGCGACCACCATGCTCTCACCAGCCACGGGGTTTAGGCAACACAAACACGCCAACCCAAAAGCAAAAACCAACGACCTGTAAATTCCTAGATTACTCAAAACAAAACAAAGAAGAGACAGAAAACCAACTTCGAACAGAAATCTACAGACACTACCCCGGAGGCAGGGTTATCACGCACCAGGAGGAGGAAGCCACTGGAAGGAGAAGGTCAGAGTAGGTGGGCAGAGAATTAACTTCTCTTCCTAGGAAAAGACAGCCAAACAATGCCCAGGGCTTCCCAGTGATTAAATCCTTCCATATCTAATTTACCAGCTCGAAATGATGAGTGCACAGCACAGACAGAAAACACATAACACTGACCTGGAAAGAGGTTCTGTTTTTGTTTTAAAGACAGTTAAAAAAAAGTCTCCAGCGGGGGTGTGGGGGTGTGGAATGACACCTTACACAGAGCTAACTACTTCAACTATCACCCACAGGCAGCAAACTATATTGAAATGCACCCAACAGGAAGTGGACAACAGGAAGTGGACAACAGGAAGTGGACAACAGGAAGCACTTACTTTTCTTTGTCTGATTTATAGATCTGTGCAATATCTGGTACTAAAGGATCATCTGGATTAGGATCACAGAGCAGCGAGCATATGGACAATAACACTAGATTGGGAAAAAAAAGAACCAACAAGCATTTCATTAGGTGATGCCCTTGCTGCTTTATAAAGCTTACCCACGCGGAACTCACTGCACTGGCTATAAAGGAAACGAAAGAGGAAAGGGCCATGCAGAGGCAAGAGAGCAGCTCGGGGCAGGTGGCTTGCCAAGCAAGCCTGAGACCCTAGCAGAAAAAGAAAGAAGGGAAGAAAGAAAGAAAGAGAGAGAGAGAGAGAGAGAAAGAAAGAAAGAAAGAAAGAAAGAAAGAAAGAAAGAAAAAAAGAAAGAAAGAAAGAAAACCAGCATTGTAAAACTATAAAAGCCACATGGGGGTTACATTTTTAGTGTTCTGCCTGCAAGCCAGAAGAGGGCACCAGATCTCATTCCAGCCATCATGTGCTTGCTGGGAATTGAACTCAGGACCTCTGGAAGAGCAGTCAGTGCTTTTAACCTCTGAGCCACCTTTTATATTAATTTTCTATATTAACTTCAGTTGGTAGGTAAATATACTGCTTTTTAAAGGAATGAAATAATTACTTTTGACATTTTGAACTCTACGTTATCTATGTTTACTTAAACAATGTGTGTCATCCAAAGTAGCTGCCGGCAATCTTTCAAGTCAAGAACTTGGGTGTCTGTCCATGAAATGCAAGGTCTTTTCCCAACCAAGCTCCCACTCTTTACACCTTGTATTTAACTAGATTCACACTCACCCATGTCTAACTTATATATTATAAAAGAAACACAGAAACTGGAAGGTATTTGTTTGCTATCATGTCAAAACTTCTAATGAAAACAGCTACACTAAAAAACAAGCAAACAAACAAACAAAAACAAACAAACAAACAAACAAAACCCCTCCATCAGGCAGAGAAGCACAGGCCAGTCATCCTGAATGTCCTGGAACTCCTTTGTAGACCAGGCTGGCCTTGAACTCACTGAAATCTGCCTGCCTCTGCTTCCCAAGTGCTGGGATTAAAGGCGTGTACCACCATCGCCCGGCCCACTGCTGAAATGTTATGAAAGGATGCTACATGACCATTTTAGGTCAGGAAAATGACCAGTTATAAATAATCGAACCGGAGGTTCTTTGGCTTTACCTAAGACTTGAAACAATTATGGCTGTGGCCCCTGCCTCTGGTAAGATTATCCCATTTAAGAACAACTTCTAGCACTGAGATATAGCTCTGTTGATACGAGTGCATGCCTAGCATGCACAGGGCCCTGGGCCCCAGCCCTAACATCCAATGAAGGCTCATGCCTGTCACCCCAGCACCCAGAACATAGAGACAGAAGAATCAGGAGTTCAGTGCCTCATGAAACCTGCAAGGAAGAACACCTGACTCAAATTTATTTAAAAAAAAAAGGGGGGGGGAATGTGGTAGCTAGTTCAGGGGCAGATGTGTGTAATCCAAACAGTTTTTTCCAACTGCCAGGTTCTATTCTATTAGAGACACTAGGCAAGGACTGCTGGCACCGTATGCACTGTTGGCCAATGAGTGGAACCAAAATGGTTTCTAAGGATCTGTGAGCACAGCTGATGGCTCAGCAAAGGACAAGGTGATGCCGCCTCTCAAAAAAGCACCAGCATGGGGCAGCTGCCAATCACAGTGATGCTGCAGATTCCTCAAACTAGACAGGTACGCTACCTTCACAACATCGCTCTGCAGCATGAAGCAGACCTTTCCTTTTTCGCTGCTTATTTTATCATCCAGTCCTCAAGTTGTCCTTTTTACTGTTACTAGACACTTCAATGATTGGGATGAGTCCCAAAATATGCCCTCCCATCCCCATCAGACAAGCAAACTCCTCTTACTGGCATTACTCTTACTTCTTTTGTAAAGACAGAAGGACAGACATCCACAGGCTTATCATAAAATTTCCAACTCTAGCAATGTTTAAATTTAGATTTTCCTAGTTTTAGTTATGTGTATGTGTGTGTCTGTCCGTGTGGATATGTATACATGTGCATGTGAGCGCAGTTGCCCTTGGAGGCCAGAAGAGGGCGTTGGGTCCCCTGGAGCTGGAATAACAGGTGGTTGTGAGCTGCCCAACTCGGGTGCCTGAAACCCATGTCAGGTCTTATGCAAGAGCAGTATGCACTTTTAGTATCTGAGCCTTCTCTCCAGCCCTTAGTTCCAGTAATTTGAATCTATGATTTTGTTTCTATTTGCCCATCCATTCATTTCTCCCAACCCCAAAGCTTACTAAAAGCCAGAGTGACCGAAGAGTTAATAGAGAAAGTAAAATCAAAAGAGAAGTAAGCACAGAGGGTTGAAGCATTGTTTTTCTTTGTCTGATTATTGGCTTTTGTTTAAATTCTGATCCCTAGACATTGTACAATCCTCCCCATGCCTATTTTAAATCCAATAATTAGAATTACCTTTAGATACAGTCAAAGCTGGCGACCACTGGGACCGCAGGATGTCAAGACAAATACTTCCATTACTGTTTATATTTGGGTGGTAGATTTTCGTCGTGAAAGCAATCTATAAATAAAAGAGAGCAAAATGTGTTGACCGTCACAAACTGTGAACAAGCAGAACCGATCCGCTCAAGGGTGAAATGCGCTCAGCGTTACCCAGCTTTGGAACAGAAACATCTACACGCAGCTCAGCTACTGGGGACTTGAAGGAGACTCAGTCTAAGCGCTGCTTCTCCTCCAGGTGTGGGCAGGTGTCTGGGGTGTAATAGCTGGTGTGACTGGCTCAGTGGCACCTGGACCGATTGCTCTGGCTTTCATCACACTGCCAACTACTCCTGTTAACCCGCCCGTCAGTAACACCCAGCGGGCCACCTGGAGCTATAAACAGGCCACTGAGTCCATCAGAGCAGAAGGGAGATGCCCCCAGCTGGTCACCTGTCCTGTAAAACCCACTGCGAATCTGCGTCTCGACAAGAGGCACTGCCGTGTGATGTCATCCGTGTAAAGTAGGTATTTTAGAATTGCTACAATTACTTCCCTAGCAGCTTGTGTTCATTTTCCCTCCCTCGTGCGCCCATCACTGCTTCTTCCTTGGGCTCTAACCCTCCGAGAACGTGATTTCCTCCCCTCTGCCGTCCGGTGTGTGTCCTTCCTGGTTCCCATTGTGAGGGGATGTGGTTGAGGCTCAATATGTGTTCAGTTTGGAAAGATAATGTTAAGGATAGAAAAGCTTGATCCTTGACAACAAAAACATTCCAGACTACACATATCTCAAGGAGGAGAAGCCCATGAGCCTAGTTGGCAGCCAATGCCACCTCTCGTTTAACAGGCAAAGGCAACTACTTGACTAAGAAAGAGTATTTTGTGTTTCAGATCTGGAGGGTGTACCAAGGAGCTTGCCCTCACTAACCTGCCCCGAGTATGGGACATCATGAGACCATCTTTAGACAAACAGTGGAAACCCCTGCTATGGGACACATCAGTCACAGAAATAAATACCTTTGGTGGTTTAAAGGGATAGTCTGTCGGGAAGTGGACCGTGAGGAAGAAGACTCCACCTTGATATGCACTGTCAGGCTGAAATGACACAACAGGGCGCATCAGTGTCCGGCCGCAACACGTACACAAGCCCGAATGATTCCCCCCGGGTGTGAACGGCATGAAAGGCTTCTACACACCGTCGTCAGATATCAGCTTGTACAAAGAAACATGATGCTAGCACCAGACGTTGGAGTGATTTACCTGGAGAGCAGGCTCCTTGCCAGGAATGAGGTTTTCCAAGGCGCCCACAGAATTTAAAGGGGAGCAGACACACACAGCAGTATGATTTAACCAAACAGACCATTTACGGGGACCAGTGTAGACGCAAGGGCTGCTGTGAGGAAAGACAATCGTCTAGAGCAGTCACCGGTGTTTTATAAAGGCTAGGACTAATATTTACCTTCTATTTCTTCACTTCCAAATTTTAAGTTCTAATGCCCACTTAAGTGCAACCAAAGTGGGTAAGTGCGTAAGAGGGTTAAGTGGCGCCACCACACAGTTTACCCCCCAATATTCATTTGCTAGTATTTTATATTGTAGAAGACAAAACTCCAAAACCTAGCTGGATACATTCAGTATTCATGATATATTGAATTAAGCAACAGTTTTACCAAAGCTTGGTTACCTCCTAAGTGGCAATAACACACACATGTACACACACGTATACACACACACACACACACACACACACACACAACAAAATATTAAAGGAGAAAAAAACCAAAATATATCCGAAATTCTATTTTCTTCCTATTTCCTGGAATGCACCATGGGTAATAAAAGTAACTGTCATCCTTTCCTCGCTTAAAGTTCTGCATAAAGATTAGAGCATTCGTATTATATAATATAAGAATAAAATTATTCTTACTATGTAGCTGATTGAGTTCTAGTGTAGTAACTGTGAAAAATGTTATGACACTAAGCGTGGTCGGCGTGGACAGTGAAGTGATGTGACAGAAGGTGGTGGAGAGGGTTGGTGCTATTGAAACAGGACAGGCATGCAAAACAACTTCACAGTTGCTCACGACACACGGTTCACCTGGGAAATCCCGTGGCGGCCCCAGCTCTGACGGCGAGGCACACCTTTAGATGATGGGACTTGGATGGCTCGTAGCAGATAATGAACAGCAAGCAGAAGGAACCAGCTTCTTATTGAAAGCTGTTAGGTAAATATGTTGCATTTCCCCCCCTCTAACATAACAACTTAATAGGCTAATGTAGTCATTCAGGGTAATTCCTCGGAGGCTTTTCTTTGAAATTCAGCATTTTTTTTTCTCTCCCAGTCTTTGGATATGAGGGCAAAAGATTTAAAACTCCACGACCGAGTAGATAAAGTGCCCCAGGGGAAGTATGGATGGCATTCAGGAAAGATATTGCTAGCGTGTTCTCATTCAGAAAGCAGACGGGAGCACGGTGCCGGCTCTTTCACAATTAGCATTCTGTTCATAGAAAGCAAAACCTGTTTCAAGCCATCGATGCTTCTCAGGTGTAGGAAGAAACATAGATAACAAAGAGGGGTCAGTTTAAGGCAGTGCAGCAAACTCAAAAGGCGACGAAGGCCACCCACTGCAGGGCTCCTTCACTTCTTCTGCAGTCAAGAGCCATGATGAGACCTACTGCAGACGGACACTTGCCGGGTGTAGCAAGTCCATTCCCGGGTCAGACTTATTGCAAACCTATGAAAACTGTGGATAGGCAAGGGATGCTCGGCTCCCCTTAAATACAGCGGACTCTGTTTTAGAAAATTAACAAGGCCAACACAGATGGCCTGCACAGAGAGCGTGACCTTGCTATATAACGGGGAGGTATCAGCACAGGGAAATATCGCTGTGACCCAGCAGGTGCTTGCCAGTCGTGCTTTAGAGAAATCGCTCCCGCCTCCTCGGTCGTGTTTTGCTCCCTGAGTGATTCAGCGGACAAGAATAGGCAACCTGAGCTACAAACATCAGCTCACAGGTCAAAAGGCAAGAGTGAAGAGCGGCCGCGGGGGTTAGTCCACACGTGTGAGTTGTACTTACGGGCCCCATGATGGTTGCTTGCCAGTGGAACACTGAAACACAGAGGGATGGAGGTCACTTAGAGCTGCTCGAAGCCACCCTTTCAACGGTAGCAACCCCTAGCAACAGAGTAAACTTACGGTCATCTCCCACAGGTCCCGCGGAGCAGTGGGCAGGTGGGTCGCGCTGTAGATCACTTAATTCCTGAAGGAAAGCAGAAATACTTGCAGTTAATCCTCCCTTTCCCTTAGGGAACAGGCACTGTGGACCCAGAAAGACACAGGCTAGGGACATCGCGTGAAATTATTTTAGCTTAATTCTAGTCGCCATGGACTCTGCCACTGAGGTCCTTGATGAGATCGCTTCAGTCTCTGGAGGGATTTAAGCAGAATAAAACAGTGTTTTCCTTTAAGATTCCTAACATGAAAGCAGTTTGTTCGCATCTCCTTGCGCAAGATCGTATATGTCATTGCTACGCAGATGGTACCAACAAAGCCAGCAGGTCCTGGTTGGCACTGTAACTCATGCATGAGCTCCCCAGGTTTTATTTCCAGCCCCCTAAAAACAAGGTCTGACTTCTAGTAAGTTACAATCTAATGAGCGGGGGTGAGGACTTGGGGAAAATGGATACTTAAGGAACAACTTGTAGCATCCAAGCATCTGTGTGCAGGATCTTTCCAGAAAGTGCTCGCTGCCTAAGTACGAGAACCTGAGTTCAGTTCCCAGCACGCGTGTAAAAAGTCAGGTGCATGAGGCAAGCCCGGAATCCCCTCACTGGCGAGAGACTGGAATATCCTTGGGGCTGGCTGGGTTGGCTGGCCAGTCAGCCTGGCTACCTGGGAAGTTCCAGGTTCAGAGAGAGACCTTGTCTCAGGAATAACATGGGAAAAACAAGTGAGGAAGACGCCTGACACCAATCAACGTCTGGCCTCCAAACGCCCACATGTGCATGTGTATTCAAACTCGCAAACACACATGCACACACACAACATACGAGTACAGCATATGAAGGCAGCCAGGCCATGTTCTGAAACCCACAGCGCTGATGATTCACGGGCCCGTCTCTATCCTCAAGGTTTCAAAGGGAAGGCCAGTGGCAGACACAGCTTTCAGGCTGGTCAGCTTTCAGGCTGGTCAGCCTTGGCCCAGAATCCCAAATATAAGTGCATCGACTGCCTTGAAGAAATCACTTAATCTTCCTAGCTTTGGTTGGGAAAGAACTGACCCTCCCCAAATGAGTGAGGTATGACCTCAATATTAAATACTGTGCACTGGAGGGATGGCTCAGCAGCTGAGAGCGGGCTCTACTCTCACAGAGGGTCTGAGTTCAAACCCCAGCACTTACACAACAGCCCACAAACATCTCTAACTCCAGCTCCAGAGAGTCCAATGCCCTCTTCTGGCCTCCATAGGCACTCACAGTCATGTGTGCATACACACACACACACACACACACACACACACTTAAAGATCAATCTTAAAGAGAAAAGCACTATCAAAAACCATACAGGCTGGGAATGTAGCTCAGGAGCGGAGTAACTGCCTAGCATGTGAAAGGCTGGGGCTCCATCGTTATCACTACACAAAGGAAAAGATTATCCCTGAAGAACCCACTTTAGCTTGGAAGATCAATGAGGGTCTATCCCTGACGAAGCCAGTGAAGCGGAACCACAAGGGATGAGTGGGAGCTGGCACTGAGTGGGTCGAGCGATATGCCATGAGCCTGGGAAGGCGTGTGGAAGCCAGGCAGGACCAGAACACACACCCCACGAAGGATACAGTGCTACACAAAGTGCACAGAGATGGTTTTTAAGAAGTAGTGGACTCCATATTTTTGAGTGGCATTTATTTATTTATTTATTGGTTTTTTTTTTTTTTTAAGAGAAAGAGGGAACATGGAAGTTGGGTGGTTAGGGAGAGGAGAGGATATGGTCGGAGTTGGGGGATGGGGAGGAAAGGTCTGGCCAGAATATGATAAAAACCCTTGCTGCAATGTCAAGGGATGAGGCAGAAGAGCAAACTGCAAGATGAGTTACTGAAGGCAAGATGGGGCAGGCGTGGGCACTAAACTTGGAAGAGTGGCAAGGAGACACGAGGCACTGCCCTGGGACACTCTAGGGGCTTCCCTACCTCAGGTCTATGAAAACAAAGGAAGGAGAAGCCACCAAACATGCTGTGCAATATAATGACATTGGGGCAGCAGAGGGTTCTACGGTCTCTGTCATCTGGACCATCCTCAGAGGTGAGTGTCGGCAGATTCCCCTGTTCGACACATGGAAAGCAAGCTACCGCGCCATCTGCAAACCCGGGTAGCCCGACTCCTTACTTCTTAGCTTTCCCGATGTGCAAATAAAGACGTGTTTACTGAGGCAGGGACCTCAAGAAGACAAGGTGGTGAGGAGAGTAGCCATGTGGAGTCTATGATTGAATCTATGATTCAACATCTCCGTGGAAAGATACACAAACAATTTGCACTTTTCATCGACTCCAAAATCCTGCTGGGGATCATCCGACTGTGCACCGCTAATCACCGAAAGACACTTTGCCTACACTTCAGAAATTCTAGAACCTGAAAGACGTCAGCTCATGACAGTGGCAAAACAGCCATGATCGCATCCATTTGGCGTGCTAATAAAGACAAGGAAAAAGATGTGACCAGATGCATGGCTGGGAGCCCAGTGCAAGCCAGAGGCCTCCTTTAAAGTCCATGTCCCTTCAGCGCCTTTTGCTACTTTCATTTCTGTTTTTTTTTCCTCCTTGTAAACAAAAAGGAACTAACTCATTCGGCCCCTCTGTTGCTTCATGTACTGTTAAGCAATGGAAGACTTCAGTCTTCTGCTTTGCCCCACCCCACCCCATTCAAAAACAAGGCTTTGACATTTCATCCCCGGCACCACCACTCACCTGGTGACCATGGAATGACTTTTGCTTTCCAGGTATCGTTAAAATACAGTGTGACATTACTGTTTCATCTACAGTTTCCATGACAACCACGGGACATGATACAGGTCAAGTGTGCAGCAGGATCTCTCTAGCCCATAGCAAACATCCCAATTAACGTTGAGACAATACAGAAGTAGAGCTCATCAGTTCTTGGGTAGCAAAAGATAACGGTTTAAACAGTGTGAGTGAGAGAGAGGGAGAGAGCTGTTTCTAATGACAGTCCCGTTACAGAAGGAGCCTTCTGACGATTTTTTTTTTTTCTAATTTGGGCTTTGGGAAATGCTTTTAAAATTACTTGTGGAGCTGTCTTCTAAACAACATTCACGTACCCCAACTTTTTTTTCTCCTTTTTCTTCTCTCTCTCTCTCTCTCTCTCTCTCGCTCTCTCGCTCTCTCGCTCTCTCGCTCTCTCTCTCTTTAAGACAAGGTCTCACTATGTAGCCCTGCCTTGCCCGGAACTCATTGTGTAGACCAGACTGGCTTTGAACTCCGAGAGATCAGTCTGCTTCTGCCTCTTAAATGCTTGGATTAAGGCATGAGCCAACATGCCTCCCTCTAAACATTAATGTAAATAGTACTTGTGTTCATTTTAACTAGTTAATCAGAAAAATGCAATCTCTATGGCTTAAAAACTATTAATGATATGCATGGAAATTTGCAATCTGATAATGTGTGCAATAAATTGGATAGAGACACAAATGCACACGAATTAATTTTGTTTATTAACAAGGCAACTCAAAACCATATTTTAGCTGCAACAGCCTTAAACCATATTCAAATCTCAAACGGCAAGCTGTTCTTCAAGTCTTCAAGCATTACATTTAGAAGAGATATTTTCTCATTATTATTTTTTATGTCCTGATTCCACTTCCTCTTTCGAAGAGGGAGGGTGATGGATGAGAGGAATAAAGAAACAAACCTCACAAGTAAATTCTGCAAAGGGCGGGCTCTTAAAGTGTTTCCAGAAAGCTCCCCTGCTGGAAGAGGAAACTGACAGAACATTAAACAGCCTACACTAAGCCCTGCTAGGCTGTCAGGGAATACGCAAGCACAGCCATGGGGCACAGTTCAGGCAGCAAGCACAACAGACAGCAAGGCTCCTCCCTCACCTGCAAAAAAATGCAGATCTTAAATGCAAAACAGAAAGCTGGGTGGTGGTGGCACACACCTTTAATCCCAGCACTCAGGAGGCAGAGGCAGGCGGATCTCTGTGAGTTCGGGACCAGCCTGGTCTACGAGAGCTAGTTCCAGGACAGGCTACAAAGCTACAATGAAATCCTGTCTTGAAAAACCAAAAAGCAACAACAAAAAAAAACAAAACAAAACAAAACAAATTGCAAAATAGAGACACGAGGAGGCTTAGGAAATCCTGAGATGAACTAAGGAAGTGAAAGCATTAGGCTGTGAAGAAGCTGTCCATGAAAACTGCACCCAAGCACACCCAATATCCACCTTTGTAAAAGTCAGCTCTGCAGGCAAGGTAGTTTCGGGGGACACAAGAAGTCAGGGGTCACTCAGTCATCCTCTCTTTTCAAACTGCCTTACAATCGGAGTGGCACTTCCTCCCCTTCAACGGGTGTTATTACACATCTACTTCTATCATATCATACACTTGGTAGTAAAACTAATTGAGGGAAATCAATCAAGTTCAATCACCTAAATTACTCAACTGCTCAATCACTGTAAACGAATCATTTAGCACCAATCAGAGGGGTCCAGTATAATAACCTGAACTTCCTTGACCTTCTGCAGCTCCCTTAAATGTGGCAACGATATCGCTGGGTTGTATTTGTGTACCGACAGCTGATTTTCATCTAAACTTTGCATCAAAGAGATACATCAAATTCGCTATACTTGCATTTATTAACTGGGGCATACTCTTTTATATTAATATGAAAATAAAATTCCGACTTCGACCCATACAGTAAAACGTTTTACACTTATTTGTTTCTTTTCAATCTGCTTGCATAGCCTGGAGCTAGACACCGAGTGATCAGTGTTAATTTTATTATGTCACTGATGTGTATCTGGTATTTTTACCCTCACGATTACTTTAGTAGGTCAATAGAAACTATCTAATTTCGACAAAATTTCACACGTACTCTAATATTAATTGTCACGGATACCGTAAGAGTGTGATGAAAGATTTATGTTTAGATGGATCCCCATAGAAAGGAGACAAAGACAAGGTCTCCTGAGTAAACTGGGAGTGTGGGGGTCACAGGAGAGGGTAGAAGGGGGGGGGAGGAAGGGAGGGGAGC